CAGACGAAATAGTATATTTCGTAACGAGTGCAGAAAAGTGTTTTTTGGCGAGTGGGAGGTTTCGCCTCCCACTCGCCTTCGGCTCGTGATATAATCCCACGAGCTAAAAAACATTTTTTCACGAGTTACGAACAATATTTTTCATCACAATGTGGCGGAAATTGGACTTTTAGGCACGCGGAGCGTGCCGAAAAGTTCACTTTTCGTCACAGGGTGATGAAAAAATAATTATCGAATTAATTGTGACTCTTCATTCCGCGAACACACAGCTCTTGATCTCACCACTGCAGGAACTAGTATCTGGAATTGAGACACTTTTGTCCGTTTTCAAAAATATCGTTTGCAACTTATATAGCAAATACCTGCAAACAGGAATACAACATCAATTAATATGAAATTCCCCAAAATATTGCCATATTGATTAAACTCAAGAGTCACTCCTGACCAAAGTTTAGTAAAAAAATTTATCAATGATAGTTCATAGACTTTTTTAAATACTAGTTTTTAAGGAATGTAAATAATGTAAATACTGATTGTTTATATATGAATAAAAACCTGTTTAAAAAAAAATAAAGTGGGTAAGTTCGTTGCCTCACGTGCGAAAGGTTCCAAGTTCAAAACCCGGCCGGGCAAAATGGTGAGATCTAACCATTTAAGGTCTGGATCATCATCGCAACATACCCTAACTGGGTCGAAGCGATGTAAAATAAGGATAAAAAAATGCCTCAAACCAAGAAGTCTTGAAGAAACTAATATAACAGCGTTGGAAAAATCAAAAACAACTCAAGAACATTTTTTACGGACAATCAAATGTGCAGAATAATTCTGTTCTCATTCAACTCAAGACACATTTCATCCCCCAACTTTCATTGTTCCTTTCATTTCACCCAAAAATAGACACTAGAATTATATCAAGCCAAAGTTCAAACTAATTATGCAGCGGACAGTAGGAGACCATGAATATGACGTGCTCAAACATTTTCCCAAGTTCTTGATTAAATTAAAGTAAACTCATTATCAATTTAACCGGGATTTTCACAGTCACTTGGAATTCCTCGAGTTTTCATATTATTGAGGGTATACGGAGAGGCACTGGCAGCTGTGAAAACACCGCAGCTGCTGGCAACGGCAATCCTCTCTTTTCAGGAATATTCACATGTTTATGATATTTTCTTTTTTCCGTTTGCACCTATTGTCAGTTGAAATAATTTAATTGCGCGACTGGTGGAGTGATATTGTATCCGTGCAGAAGTAATCGGTCCACAGCGTGAGAGAGCGATTATCAAAATTGAGCAAGTTAACGAGGGTATTAATGAAATTTTGTGATGTTAAAAGATATTAAATTCGCAACGTAATCCCGAATGTCAATTTCAATTAATTCGCGTACAATGCGTAGGTTCATAATATTTTCATGGCATTATACACAGAATAATGGGGTTTTTGTATCCCGGGGTAATCATGAGTATCAATGATTTTCGCTCCAATCCATTATTACGACATCCGAGAATCCAATGTCAAAATTTTATCAGCGATCGTAATTCACAATGCGCTGTAATGATAATCGCTCTCTAGCGCTGTCATGATACCCAGTTCGTTCAGACAGATTTTAGTTGTGCTCGATAAAGCGTGTATGGATGATCCCAGCCACATGTTGCCTTTTTTCATTTAACCACAGGACCTTTGGGTTAAAACCGAAATACCTGACATTATGTCGATCCATTCGGGCCCCTTATTTCCATTATTTTCAACTGTCGAAGTTTGTTATTCGATTTTTTTTGACCGATTGTAATTGTTTGTTCAGAACTCGACAGAACTCTAATCTAGTTAATTCAGAACAATAATAAGAGTGAATTCCACTCGGTTTTATTTAATCATTTAATTTAATTCAATTTATTTTATCTTTATGCAATGATTCAGTTGCAAATTTAAATGTCGAAATTTTCATTCAAGTTAATTCATTTGGGATTAATGACTTCTGGGATTTTCAATATTTTTTGGTAGTTTCCGTCTAATTTTGGACGAATGTTGTTCATTCGTTGATAGTTTGCCTTTTGGAAATAAATTAAGGAATGCCCAGAGCTAAATATATATTCAGGGCCGAGATCCAATACTCTATTATGACATGCGAGAATCCAATACGAAAATTTTATCAGCGATCGTAATTCACATCCGCTGTAATGATACTAGCGCCCGGTTCATTCAGATAGATTTAGTTATGCTCGATAAAGCGTGTATGGATGATCCCAGCTACATGTTGCATTTTTTCATTTAACCACAGGACCTTTGGGTTAAAACCGAAATGCCTGACATTATGTCGATCCATTCGGGCCCCTTATTTCCATTATTTTCAACTGTCGAAGTTTGTTATTCGAAATTTTTCTGACGGATTGTAAGAATTTGTATTCACAACTCTAATAAGAGTGAATTGCAGTCGATTTTATTTAATCTTTATGCGACAATTAAATTGGAAATCAAATGTCGAAATTTTTATTCAAGTCAATTCATTTGGAATTTATGACTTCTGGTATTTTCAATATCATTGAGTAGTCTTTGTCCAATTTCGCACAAATGTTATTCATTCGTTGATAATTTCCCCTTTGAAAATAAATTAAATAATGTCTATAGCCAAATATATATTCATACCTGAGCATCAATGATTTTCGCTTCAATCCGATATTATGACTTCCCAGAATCCAATACGAAAATTTTATCAGCGATCGTAGTTCACATCCGCTGTAATGATACTAGCGCCCGGTTCATTCAGATAGATTTATTATAGTTATGCTCGATAAAGCGTGCATGGATGATCCCAGCCACATGTTGCGTTTTTCATTACCCACCGGACCTTTGGATTAAAACCAAAATACCTGGCACCATGGCGATCCCTTTAGGATACTCGGCCGCTCATTTCCATTATTTTAACCTGTCGAAATTTGTTATTCAGAATTCCTATGACGGACTGTAACAATTTATGCCACAGTAATTTATGTAACAACCTTAATAAGAGTGAATTCCACTGAATTTTGAAACATTGAACGATTTTCAGGCGACAATTTAATCGTAAATTGAAATGTCGAAATTTGCATTCCTCCAATTCATTTAGGATTCATGACGTCTGACATTTTTAAAAATTTTCAGTACTTTTTTCCCTCAATTTCGCAAAAATGTGGTTCAAAAAGGTATATTCGTGGATAATGTGCCTTTTGAAAATGAATAAATTGAAGCCACTGAATGATTTTAATTTGAATAAGCTGAATTATGTATTGTGAATACGTGAATTGCTTCTGCGAAAGATGTACAAATACTCTTTCCTACATTCCTTTTTATGTTTTCTTTTTTTATGTATATTTTTCTCCTATGTACATTTGTATTATCAGGATTTCCCCTGTGCACATGATCTCATGTATAAAAAAACAGTGAATAAATAACAATAAAAATAATAAGTTGATGTCCAGAGTTAAATGTCCAGAACGACTTTATCTCAACCTTTTGTTGTGGTATCGCTTATTCTTAGCAATTCAATAACAATTTAGTTTATGAACTAAATAATAATTATTGCCATTGATTATTAAATTTTTGGTTTTTATTCATTGCCCATAAAACGGAGGAAAAAATTCTTCCACAGTTATTTCCAAACGCAAATTAAGAACTGTTACAGTAATTTTTACCAAATTATCCAATAAAAATTTTGACATTAAAATTTATTGTCAGGAAGAAAAATAACTAAATACAAATAACTTCATTTCAACTACAAATATCTGCAATTCCAAAAAAATTCTACTTCCTTCAAAATTTTCTGACGTTATTTTCACAATAATCCAATCTAAAATCAAGATCGTCGAACTTGAATCAGAACTTCAACGAAAAAAGCCATCAAATTCGCAATAAAACTCGCTATAGCCATTTCATTCTCCCCAAATAAAACGGAATCTGATAAAATCACATGAAACACACACATGATCACAGCCAGAAAGAAAGGGGGATGTAAACCAGGATTTGCAAATTGCATGCAGAAAAAATAATGAGAGCTACATGTTATTGTTCGCTGTGCGCGCTGACAATGGCTCGTGGCAGGCAGCTGTTGCGATTTTTGACCCCCTCTCACTTCACTTTTTTTTTATAATCCGTCGCGCATAGGCCAGTTCAGGATCTAGACGTGTGCCCCATAGGAAATCATCAAAAGGGAAATCATTCATGGTTTTTGTTATGTCCTCAACTTGGCTGTTCAGGCGCAAATCGTAGTGTCAGAATTGCCTGCTATATTTCTCATCGAAATATTGAATGGTGCGACCCTGAATCACTGGGGGTTGAACAACAATGAAGAGGGGGGGGGGGACCTCCTGGAGCCACGTGCCACCTATGGGAATAATGCGGCAACGGTCCACGTGCCTCGGCTGTGTTCATTGGGCGTTGATCCTGGAAATAAGGGGGCCACTGGCGGCTGGCTCGATTCACTCGTTTCATTATTCGATAAATTCCTCTTTTTTATCCACCAGTGGATTTCATCCACTGATGAATTCTATCATGAAGAGCATTATTGAATTATTTGTCCCCTTGATCATGCGAGGAATGAGTTTTGGTGATCAAAGGGAAATTGGGGTGACAAATCAGTCGCGAAATGGTGGAAATTTGCAACTGTATTAAAAGATCCAAAAGTTCATTTTTGAAAAAAAATCGACGTGTTCGGCGTGAAATATTTTCTGGAGGATTTGAACCTATTTGAAATCCCGTTCTTTCGCATTCGCGTATTCATTGAAATTAATAATCGGATAACTTGTCGATCGTTTTACATGATTTGATGACGATTTTTTTAAATTAATTCGATTTTATGAAGGGGTTTCAAAATTCATTTAAAATATTTTTTTAGGTATATCCAATTTATTGTATTGTTCATCAGTAGATTTCCTTTTATTAACTAATTCTATCATTAACAACAGCATTAAATTATTCATTCTCTTGATTATACGAGGGATGGGTTCTGGTAATGAAGGACAAATTGCAGTAACAATTTTTTTTCATATTATTATGCATATTCGCTAGATTTGCATTGTCAGAATATTTCATTAAAATTATCAATTGGACAACTTGTATTTAATTGTTCTAAGTCATGTTTTAATGTAGAAATAATTATTTCTGGGGAATAGGTATATCCACAATTTTGTTTACAATCCATTCGGATCAACGCGTAATTCCCTCTTGTATTCATCAATGCGTTTCATTTTATTGACGAATTTTATCACGAGAAACATCATTGAATTATTTGTCCCCTTCATCAAAAAGTTTCGGTAGTCAATGTAAAAATGCGTTAACAAATATTTTCTGGACGCAAAAATTTATTTTTCGTATTAACTAGAATTTAATTGTCTGAGTATCCCATTCATTGTCATTCTCACATTCATCGACATTTCAATTAAATAACTTTGATTTAATTGGTTTATCTCTTACGTGAGACTTGTCAAATCCATTAGTTCTAATGTAGAAGTTTGGGAATATAATAAAAATACTTTATTAGGCATTCATCACAACATCATAATTCCTCAACACATGAGCCTGTGGATTTCAGTGTTGAACCAAGACCTCGTATTGTCTCAAAGGAATCTCCTGTCCATTGTAAGGGATGTACAGACTTCCATGGCTAGGGTGTACCTGGCGAATGAAGAGAATAGCGAGATATGTTGGATTACGATGTCAAGACGTATAGTGCTATTTCAATAGTGATGATGATTGCGGCGAACGTATTCATTCGCTGTTGGTTTATCGCAGAGGAATATCAATGATCTTTGCGCTATTATGATATTACCTTTCCTACGCATGGTACCCCATTGTGGATGGCTCGACCCACGTAGAGAGGCTCTCCTGAACTTGTTCGACCACCGTCGACAGCGCCAGGAGGAACGTGACCGTTACTTGATGGTATCCATCTAAACTCCGCTGGCATCAACACCTGATGCCAATGAGGACACAGGACATTTGATAATTAGACACAATTTTCCTTGCAATTTTCAATTTTTTAAAATTATTTTGCTTTCATTCATCTTTCATTGATTTTAAGGGTATCCAAGTATCTTTCATAATTTGGTATACACCGCACTATTGATTCAACCATTTTTAATCATCAAATTTGTCAATTTAGTAGCGAAGCGGTAAACCAGGTCAAGTCGATTTTGACTATTGCCCAGTTTTTGACGAATATCTCGGAATCTAAAAGAGATAGAAAATTTTTGGTCAAGACCTTTTTTGTAGGGCCAATTGAGGTTATAAAAAAGGTTATGAGAAAAATTTTGCTATCTCTTTTATATTCCGAGATATTCATCAAAAACTGACCAAAAGTCAAAATCGACTTAACCCGGTTTATCGCTTCACTACTAAATTCAATTGCGTGAGAGAAATTTAAAAAAATATCACAGAATTATTATTTTTTTAAACATTCATTGTTTATAAATAAATAATTGAAATTGTTTAAACTTTCGGAATAGACTCTCCAAAACCAGTGACATTTTCCTGAAAGTCGATTTTTTTCAATTTCCCCATGAATCTTCCTAAAAGTACAATTTCTATATTTTTTAAGATTATTAGAATATTTCAAAAGAACAACGCTCATTGGAGAATTGAAACAATTCAAAACTCCACTTACGAACTTAATCACCCCCTCTCCCTCTATTAAAAACAAGAGAGTCAAAAATCATTAAAATACTACACTAATTTACCATAAATAGTAGACTAAATATCTCAAATTAATGATTTAAGAAGCTAAATCAATAAAATTAATGATGCAAGAAGTGCAAATATTTCGCTTAAGTTAACAACACATTACTACTAGTGTAAATAAATCTTGCAGATTTGCGCACTTTAAACAATAAAAAAAAATTACAAAACAGTTCAAGGCAAGAAATCACACCAGACTTCAAAGACTTTAAATAATAAAATTCCCCGGCAATGAAAATTATCGCGCTACCAAAGGGTTAATTAAATTTGATGAATTACCTCAAAATCATGTTTTATAATTTCACTCCCGCCGTAGGCAACATAGGCGACCCCATGCTCGGGTTTAGCCTTGGCCGGTAGAATATCGCCCTGATGATGGGCCCTGCCGACAACAAGACAGCTACCATCGAGGTCATGGCCCACTGTTACCATCCCAGGTACGACATAACGTGCACCTGAGTACCTCACCCACCTGTAACCTCCTACCAGAGAAGATATCCAACCGATGCTTTGATTCGGCATTACAATTCCGTGTGGTGAATTTATATGAGCACGGGGAAATGGATGAATCCGAAGCGCTGTACTGTGAAGCCAATTGTGACAAGCAGTGTGTAACTGTGGAATGGATTTGCTCGGTGGATTACGTTTGCGGTTAGACAGTAAACTTGTGCATGAGAAATCCCAACAGTTCACTGCTTATCAGTACTTGGCCACAATTATATTCTGAGGTGGAACATGAATATTCGACGAGTGATTTCACTGTTTTTTTATTCTGGGGTGATTTGCCGGCGGAGGAAGGGGAAATTACTTCTGCCGGAAGAGTTTGCTTTCTAACAAAAGATATGGGCAATGTCACAAATCGAATCTCGAGTCGTTCTAATTGAACTGAATACCATTCTATGAAACATGAATAAACGAATCATAATTGTCCAAATCATTTAGGTCAGAGGAAAATGGAATAATTCTACTTGCTTAATACTGCGTTTACTCAAGTTTTCTTCGAACAAAGGTGATTAGAATTAATAGCTAGAATTGCGGAGCAATTCACGTAATTCGCAATATAGAATCGTCTTCCGGCAATTTTTATAGGAATGGAAGAGAAGAAATGTGAAACGTTCCGCGAATTCTCAGGTTCATCACCGGGAAATGTACGAAATTGTCACGTAATTTTTCCCGAAGAAGTAAAATCTTAGAGAAATTTGCCGACTTATTGTGCCTCGAAAATCAAAAATTCTTGAACATTGAACAATTTTTATGAAGCTGGTGAGTTATTTCTACGTTCCGTCCCGTAAAATTTCTCAATCGTTGGGGAAAAATTACGGAACGACTTGTTGTCCCCACAGCGGTGAGTCATCAGACGGGTGGTTAATTTTTACGGAACAAATCGTAGAATTTACGTGGCGATTCGTACAATTTCAATTCCGACTCACACTTTTTATTGAATTTCACTTTGCTCGCAGATTACGTTTCGAAACGTAATTTTTACGTTTTGTTCTGGTAATTTTTATTGAGTTTTTCTCTCCGTATATCTCATATTTGAAACTGCAATGCATCAGATAATGAATTGATACTGACCACAATCTAATCGATTCCCAGGAAAAAAAAAAAAACTACATTGTCTCAACAAAAACATCACTTTACAGCGATGTAGATATAAATCGAGTGTCCACGTTCTTATCAAAACGACATTCGTCAAATACAAAGTACTGAACATATTGACCGAGCAATATTTACGATCCCCTCCATCATATCTGTGTGCATTAATCGAGATTTTTGACATTTTCGAAGGTTTTGTTCGGCCTTTTATGCTCGGTTGCTTCTGAGGCAGTTGGGGGCCCTAACTACGCTAGATTTTCATATTTAGATGGGAGTGCCACCGTGATTACCATATATATCGCCACATATCTGCACACAGGGGCCAGATTTATGTATACGACAAAATAACTGGAGAATATTTCTGGCAACTGAGTATGACGGCGCTTATCGTTTTCCGATATCCGGAGCATTTTTATCAGTAAAGCCTCTTATCTAGCTCAGGTGGCGTCCTTCCTCGACTGTCGACTTACGGAATCGAACCGAATCGCGGCTGCTATTAGCGCACTGTCGCTTTTTTTGGGAAGTTAGAAAATAAGGACAACTCATGAAAAAAAGTTGTTTAATTAGTACGAGGAAATCACTAGAGCTTACGGTGTTTGGTGGAATTGTGAGTCGTCTACGGACGAAGAAATTACGTAGAGAAACATAACGAATTGGCTAGAAAATTTTATTGGACAATATTTGGCCGATTCTATTAAAAAATTCCGCAGTTAATCTTCGCGTTTTGTAAAAGAAAAATGTTCATTGGAGAATATTCTATAGAAAAAAAGCAATAGAATTAAATTTTCCTATACAATTTCTTTTATTGAGATATTTTCTATAGAAATCCTACGGTTCAATTTTTTTAAAATCTTTTTCAAGTGTTGTTTGATTTTTTTAAAGAAAAGAGAAGAAAAATAGAGTGGAAAGAACTTGGAAAACTCATGTAGAATTCCTATAGAAAGTCTCTCAATAGAAATCGTTGTATAGAAAATTGCCATTCTACTGACTTTTATCTATAAAATACTTTTTCTATCGCACATACTCCATAAAAAAAATCATGGAATTTCGAATAGAAATTCAATAGAATTTTCTATCGATTTTACGAGGTTTTCTGCAGTTCTAGAAGCATCACTGCTCTCCGCCTCCTCAGGAAAAATTACGTTTCAATACGTAATAAATGCGCTTCAATCCATAAAATTCCCAGAACTCAAGAGGGAAAATTTATCTTGCACTCGGCATTTCTTCCGTGGTTTCACGTAAGAATTCCCGAAAGGGCATTTCGCCTCACTTTTACATTCTGTCACGTAGTATTCCCTGAAGTTTTTTTTCCCTTCCTCGCGGAATGCAAAAGGAGAAAAAATTCCTGGAAAAATTCATGAGCAAAACGATCAACGTTTCGCAATTTGCTCAATTGGAAAAATTATCGTGCAGCACTGGAAAAAAATCTCTCTGTTCAAGGAAAGTTGCTGCAAGATAATTTTCCCGAGGGTGTGCTGACGCAGGAATTGTCCAAGAATTTTTCCTCCATGCGGCTTTTTAATCTTTTTCCACTTCCGGTTATTGCAATCTTGCGCATTAACATAAAAAATAATTCACACTTAATATATTTATTCAAAACTAAATAATGCCTGAAAATTCCAGGCAGAAAGCCCATTCGGATTATTAATGTCTAAGCGAAAACTTTCAAAAATTCAAGAGATCATAATTTTTTTAAATTTTTTTTTCATCAGTAAATAATCAAAATTGTCGCAACTTCAGAAAAATTCTGAATACGTGAAAATTTTTGACAACTGCGAAAATTATTTTCAAGATTATGATTCAATTGTTTATAAATTATTCATGAAACTGAGATAACAAGCTCTAAACTTGCAATTTGTTACTCATTTTATGAATCTCTCTGACAAAGTGGACTTTCTAGTTTTTTTTACATTTTTGCAATGTTTGCTAACATTTCAGTAGTGAAGCGGTAAACCGGGCTATGTCGATTTTGACTTTTGGCCAAATTTTGACGAATATCTCGGAATCTAAAAGACACAGCAAAATTTTTCTCATAACATTTTTTATAACCCTCAATTGACTCTACAAAAAAGGTTATAATAAAAAATTTCTATCCCTTTTAGATTCCGAGATATTCGTCAAAAACTGGTCAATAGTCAAAATCGACTTAACCCGGTTTACCGCTTCGCTACTGATTTCAAATTGTAGTATAAATAATAAACCGATATTGAACAAAAAAAATTAGCAAGGAGATTGAGTATTCCTGAATAGTTGAACAACTATCCAAACCGAGGATATTTATTCCCCTCAGAAATGCCGATCGCACATTAAAATAATTCCCGAAACCCCGAACTTTCTCCGGAAACTATAATCACGATTTAATACATCGAATTTCAATCAATTCAAAATGGCAATGATTGAGATGAGTGGGTTTGAAGAGGGATGGTCCCCCAATCACGATCGATTATATCATTATGGGATGATTTAGAGAGGAAAAAATTTCTACCTGGCATTTTTGATTTTGAAATATTGCTGAGCCACCGATTCCCGAGTTTCTTCTCCTCGATCCACTTCCTCGCTAGTGGCCTGATCGTAGAGCAACTGCCAAGTGCCAACCGAGTCGGTAGACCCACTCGACACCGCCCACTGTGACGTAATTCAGATAACAGGGTGAAAAAACGGTTTGACTGACAAGAGAGGGAGATTGGATTCGCGGAAGGGCTGACGCACAGAGATTCGGGGTCCGGACGTCTTGACATGTCTGATAAATTCAAGGCCATTTCCAGCAAAACTTGAATACTTGTATGGAAATCATTTCTTTTTTTTTTTTTTTTTTTTTTTTTTTATTGGTTTATAGTATAGAACCCATATGAGGGTTATTTACACTGTCGGTGAAAAATCATTTCTTGAGAAGATGTTTGATAAATAGAGAATTAGTGTCTGCAATTAAGACACTTTTATCAAACTTGATATTAATATTGATTGGAACAATGCACGGAGAAATTTTTCTTAGAATCCTTTCTTAAAAAAAGCATGGGCAATATCTCGAATGGAAAATGAGAACAAACAAAAGAGAATTGACTACCACTCTGTGCAACACGAATCAACGACTCATAATTGTCCAAATCAAGATTCCAAATGAAGTTTTGTTTTTTAATTTGGTGCTGCAAACACGAGACGACAATATTCTAAGCGCGGAATTATATTGATGAGGTGAACAACGGATTAATTGAAGTGCCGCGTGAACTAAGTAAAAATTGATAACAGCGTGGGCACAGACTTTTACCAGAGTATCAACAAACATTGAATTCCAGAAATTCATACTCTAAAGTGTGTTCTAGAAGGAACTTAATTGTCATCATCATGAAAATTTAACAGCTGATAAATTGGGATATGATTTTGATCGCTTGTATTGCTTCTTTCAATGAGAATGATTGTAAACAATTAATTGAAATCCCGGCCGCCAGCGCTTTCTGCAAAAACTCGTTAATTTTCTCAAGAATCCAAAATTTTTCCAAAATTCTCCAGAAGACCAGAAAAAGTCCGGAAATTTTTTAGTAAAGCTGCAAAATATTTACCAAATCTCTAGAAAACCTAGCAATTTTCTCAATTTGTGATAGGAAACCCCCGAATTCTCTCGAACATTCTAGCAAATCCGAGAATTATTCACCTTAGAAAAAATGCTATAGGATTTCATCTAGGATTTCCCAGGGTAAATTCAATCGGTAAAATCCAATAGGAAATCCTAGAGGCGGTCTCATTCGAAATATCCTACAAAAAATGTTCGAATTTTCTATAAAAAATTTCTTTTCACGTGAATCGCGTAAAAAAAATGGCCACAGACTTATTTCATCTAAAATCAATGAAATATTCTTGACGTCCACCTATAACTGCTGGACAGAATTAATTTCTCCCCCTCCACTACTCCGAGGTTTCAGGACAATGTCCTTTGTTCCACTTCACTGCAAACTAAATCGAGAGAATAAATATCAATCAGTGAATTTAATGGTAGGATTTACGCCCGGAATTACATTCTATCTTTACAGCAAACAGTTTACGACAATGTTCGGAAATGGAGTCTGAGGTTGTGAACAATTGCGTAATTATCCTGCTCAGCACAAAGGAAGAGCGTGGCATAGGGCAAAGCGGTGTTTGGTGTAAATAGTGAACCCCTCGCCTTCCCCTCTCCGCCCCCGGGAAAGCACTAGTGCGCATCGAGCTTCATTCACACCACGGAGCAACGATAAATTACTTTTTCACGGACACTGATCGAATTTGCCCGGGGAAACGGTATTCCTGGAATTCTATTCGGACAGATATCCAGATGAAGGGTGTGAATGATAGTTTATGGAGTGTAGTATTTTTTTAGAGAGCTTCAAAGATTTTTAAGTGCTTCAAACTTTTTTTTGCATTTAAATTTTTTCTTCAAGATTTTTTGAAATCTTTTTTCGTAAGTAATTGATGGGCAATCATTTTCACAATTTCATAATCAATTTACTTATATTCAAAATGTTTTCAGGAATCGATTTTTTGTAAAATAATCATTTCTAAGGAGAATACAATGATTTACATTATTAATTCATCAAAAGAATATGGATGAAAATAAATCTTTTGTAAAATCTATTATTTGATGTCCTCACACGGATTTTAATCCTTTTCCACCAAAATCTGATAGCTTCTGCTGACGTACTCCGTCCAATAATAAGAATAGTATAGCAAGCCGCTGTTGTGTGACACCTGACAAAAAAAAGAAAATGCACTTTCCTTCTGCATTGGATGACTGAAATTATTAAAGGGATCATTACCTTCCCTGCAACGTCGTAGTCATTGTGAGTGGTTCGACCAACGTAGAGAGGCTCGCCTTCTTTCGTTCGGCCCGCCACGATTGCATTGTCAGGGATTCGAAGATTATTAACCTTCACCCATTCATAGTCATCCCTATCCATCATCAAAACCTGCATTGAATTGACGTTGAAGACATTTGATATTGATTTACTGGATTAATCGATGGTACACTGTTAGAAATTTCTTGAAATTTCATAGAAATCTGGTAGTAATTCTCATAAAAGTGACATTGAATCCAATTCAGGGGGAAAATGGTGATGAAATTTCACAGTTTGATTGAATTTTCAATGAAACATGAATATTCAGAAACAAAACAAAATGATATGGATTTTTAATTTTTCCTCGAATTCTCCGAATTTTCACTGAATAATTGAACTGAAAAATGAAGTATTCTATTCATTTTCTGAAAATTCAAACTGAAAATCAATCTAATATTTAATATTTCAATTTTCAATCACGAGATTTCCGGAGATTTCAGTGGCAATTTAAAAATTTCTGAGATTTGACACGGAAAATTCGGACAAAAATTTTGAACAGTGCAGTGCTTCGTTGTGATGTAAATATTGTCCGTGAAAAGCCACTGATTACCGAAAAACGATACATGTTCCATTCTCTGTTCTGATGAGCGCAGAAAGCTATCCCCTGTGCCGGTCTAGCCTTGCAAGGAATGAGATCGTCGTCCCTCCAGCACCTAGCGACGACGAGGGTAGATCCATCGCTGTCCTCCCCCACTTTGACCATTCTACGTTTGACAGAACGCTTGTCGGACCAGTCCACCCAATCTGTTTCGAAAACAAACCCACTGTAACAATCTGTCGCATCTTCAAGAGGTCTTAATTTAAGGATGTTTAGCCAGTGTCGATAAATCGTCGGTAAATGTATATTTTTTACTGGTCAAGCAAAATTCTGTAAAAAATTAATCGCCATAGTCTCAGCAGAAATGGATAAACTAGAATAGAATACTTTATTTCCCTGATGCTACTGTTACAGTTTTACATCTACACAAGCCAAACAAAAATATCTCCAAAACAATCCAATAAATTGTTTTTATGTCTGTAATGTATAATAACTAATGATAATATCACAGTGTCACAATTTGAGCGAGTGTTCGATTTCTAGTCTCTTAAAATTTCTTTTCACCATAGTCTCTCAACACTTTCTCTATCTTGGCTAGCCCCGAATAAACTGATGGGGCTCTGATGGGGCTGTGAATAAACTAATTTTTACTGATACACAAGCTCTTATGAAATTTATGTTTAAATTGATAATTCACTCACTAGAACACTCTAAAAATAGAAATAAAAATTGAAGGTAATGTGTAAAATCATACTGAATTCAATGGCCAGAGAAAAATCTGGGGTACCCGGGCAAAAAGAGGAAATATTTGAATGATTCTATCCCATATAAGCGCATGTTAGCGCATGTATTTGGTGCATTTTGTCCATTTCATTTCTAAATAATGAACGTCGCTTGGTGGATTGAAATTTGTATCAAAGTAAAGGGAATACCTTCATCTCTCAGTGTAAAAAAATTAAGTGTTTTTAAGTACTTGCGATTTCCGATAAACATCTTCAAGACACAAAAATGTTATTAAAATGTTAATGTCGTTTTCCGTCGGAAAACAAGAGGTTTGATGGACAAGACATTTTTATAATGCCTTCAAGTACAAGCCACCGAATTTAAGACGTTTTTTATGTCACAATTCAAGGCACGTGAAGACTATTCAGTCGCTAGTCATTTATGGCGGCGGAGCCACGAGACGACATTAACCCCGCTGAGACCTGGAATCATAAAACGTTTTCGGTGACTTATCCATTTTCTTCCGATTTTCTTCAGTTCTGAATGTATTACATTAGATTAGATTAGAAGCAATTTACTATTTTCCTGAGACACAATAATCCCCGAAGGGAAAACCCCAATATAACATCATTATTACAAAAGAATCATATTAATTATTTACATTATTATAACTTTGTTTTCGTTTAATTTTTCATCGCTGATTAGTTTTCATTCGCTATTTAGTTTACGTATTTGTTTTGTTTACTATTTTGTTTGTTTTTAATTTAATAATTTAATTATTGAGAGCGTTGGAGGAGTGATGAGGATGGGCAACGTTAACAAATGTAGAATAAAGTAATGATTGGATCTGCTGACATAAATGATGCAATTATCATAATTATTGTGCCTTTTTGACAGGTCATAGTCCAGAGCAGTGAATACGTCGATCAGACAAACAAGTCGTACCGTACAATTCAGTAGCGAAGCGGTAAACCGGGTTAAGTCGATTTTTACTATTGGCTAGTTTTTGACGAATATCTCGGAATCTAAAAGAGATAGAAAGATTTTTGTCATGACCTTTTTTGTAGAGCCAATAGAGCGTTATAAAAAAAGTCATGAGAAAAATTTTGCTATCTCTCTTAGATTCCGAGATATTCAGCAAAAACTGGCTAATAGTCAAAATCGACTTATCTCGGTTTACCGCTTCACTACTGAATTCATTGACAAATTTCTTGAAAAGAGTACGATATTCGTCAGCTGCGTATTGCCGCAACAGAATATGATCATCATAGGATAATGAATGAGGTGGACTTACGCATTATTTATCGCGAATAACTGAACTGGTCGTGATACTCGGACGATTCTCGCCTAACTGCGCCTCGAAAAACGCATCCGACTTGATGACTCAAAGTTACTATATTTAGCTATATGTGTTTGCAATAACGTTCTTATCATCATTCAACGGAGCTCTTCGGCTAGGGGAAATGCTCAATCCCGAGAAATACAGATACCTATGTGCAGCGGCAAAATACAAATCGCTCGAGTGCTCATTTTATCTGGTTTTTCATTAATTTTTTTTCAATTTCTGGATTTACCGGAAAATTATGACGATAATTATCGTAATTGGGGTATCATCTACTGTTATCATCTTACATCTGAACATCTTATCATTTATCTTATCATTTGCTGGGAAGACTATTTTCAAAATCAAGGTCAAGAAACAGTCACCATGAATGGAATTGGAATTTTCAAAGAGTGAAAGAAAGGATTTAAAAAACATTGTGATGTAGTTAACGGTCTTGTTAATTTAATTACTCGCATTCATTTTGCAACTATGAACATATATTCAGCATTTATTCATTAACATTAATCATTCAATCATCATCATTTAGTCATTTAATTTTATTCATTTACTAATAATCTCAAACAGAAATTCTGTTTGAGATTTATAGTAAATGAATAAAATTATAATTTGCTGTTTCATGTAACAAAAAACTTAATCTCATCGGTTCGTTCCGAGGAATTTTATATAGAAAATATATCAATTGATTAAACTTGTACAGAACAATCCAATTCAATTGATTTTTTTTATAAAATATATCCCAATAAAGATTTCTATTTTTAAACAAGTAAAAAAAAGTAATAACAAGAATTAATGCAATAAAATTGCAACTATGAAATATTCAGCTTTTGTTGAACTGAAAACGACTCTCAGTCCGAGTCTTTCAATAAACTTGTCATTCACTGTTACCAGTAACCAAAAATAGTGAACAATACTTGGGATGGCGAATAATGAAATTGATCACATAATCACTTCCACGCAGATTGCCAAGACAACTCCATTCATTCAAAAAGAGATAATCCCAACCCCATCAGTCGTAAACACTGTCAAATAACAACAAAGCGACCCTGCGTTACGCAAAATACCGACTGGAATACCCTCCATAACACAAAGGTATACGAAATTAGAACAGCCCCCAGCTTATATCACAGGCCTGCGGATTACACCGTAGGACACGTTTACCAATGTCCACGTGCAAACGATTTGTTGAGCTCATTACTCAGCGCAAATACGAACCGACATGCGTAATTACCAAAAATCCATAAAACATTGCATCACCTCTGTAATTCAAATGTCACCCATATTCCACCAAAATTGTTGCATTTTCCGTTTCTCCATCGAGTCAACAAATTTATCATCAAATGCATCTCCCACTCGCTTCCTATCTCATAATTAGCGAAACTTTTTGCCGTGAACAGGCCAAACAATAACAACCCCGCGGCAAAAACATATCTGACATTATAGTCTAGCACTGGGGATTCAATTAGCATGAAATTATCCGATATGGCTCATGGCATTCAATGAAAAGTTAACACGAGATAAAACACTGACACAAGAGTAATTACCACTCGCCGGATAACGTTAACATAGTAAATCTGTTTTTATCGAGTTAAGATGGATGAATTATTCATTGAATTTTAGCAATTAGTAGTCCTCAGAGTTGTTTTAATATCATACGGGATAGGGTTGTTTAATTTAGGGGGTGGGGGTAATTAGATATTCTAAATATCGAATTAGAATATAAATTCAACGGAATTCATAATTTTTTCAGCAACAGGAAGCGAATTTTTCAAACTTTTAATAATGTGAAAATTCAAGAACACATTTACCGAAATTTTTGGGATTTCTATTTATTTTTATGAAATAATTAAACTGGAAATTGTGAATTTTTAGTGACAGAATTTTTTGTAATTTCGGTGGAACTGTCATTCCATAGAACTCTACATCAATTTCGATTTTTGGATGAAGAGGCGAGGGAGGGGATCATAAAGTAGCAAATATCACGGAAAATTTGATGAAGTTTTAAATATTTAAACAACAGGAAGATGAGAATTCCCCACATAAATATTTATCTGAATTTTACTCATTTCCGTTAATTGTACGGAATAATTGGACTGAAATTTACTACTTTCATTTATTTTTTCATCAAATTTTGTATTTTTCATGACAACATTCCTGGAAATCTCAGAAAAAACAGTGACTAGATGGGAATTCCCAATAATTTTTAACAATGCAGTACTGAAAATCGAATTGAAGAATTCTTCGTAAATACTGAATATTATTAAAAAATATACGTTACATAATGACACACATCTCAACAATTTTTATAAACGAAAAATTAATTGATACACTTAAAAATTGTCGTCTCAATTTTCCGTGCCAAATTCCGGAAATTTTTATCTTGTTCAAGTACCACTGAAATTTCAGTAAATCTTGTCATTGAAAAATCAAATATTCCATTCATTTTCCATTAAATGATTTGGAAATCAATAAAATACTTGATATCTCAGTTCAATTATTCCGTGAACATTCATAAAAATCAGGAAAATTCAGGGAAAGATTGAAAATTCATGTCATTGTGTTTCTGAATCTTCATGTTCCCCTAAAAATTCAATCAAGTTGTGAAATTTCCATCCCAAACTAGAATTTTCATAACCATTTTTTCCCTAAATTCGATTCAACGTCACTCTCCTAAGATTCACTATAATATCTCCCACGAAATTTCAAAAAAATTTCAACAGTCTAGCAAAACATCAATCGAATATTTTTGATACTTGAAAAAATTGATGGGCTCACCCTCAAGGGACTCCCCCGTCACGCCCATATCGCATAACAAATTGCTAAATTTCTATTCCCGGGTTAATACACATTTTTATCATGTCGCGCTAATGAATCTGGTATTATTTAGCACGCGATGAGGTTTGAAGTCCAGGGTCTCATTGCAATTATGCAATTTCTCCGTAGGTATAATTTTAACTCGCGTGCCATGCAAACGTTCCTTCATTAGTCAAGAAAGAGAAATAAATGAAACGAATGAGACGTGATTAAAGAAAGAATTGCTGGGATATTGTTGTGGGGCTTTTGCAATACCGCAATGCGACATCCTCAGCGGTTTCAACGGTTTTTACTGCGCTCAATATTCATGGGATTGTAAGTGGATTACTTTGCCAAATATTTGGATGGAGTGATTCGTTGAGGGAGAATTGTAATCACGCAATGCAAATGTTTTTTTTTATTTGAATGAGTTATCTCACGTTGGATAATCTCGCAATGATCCTCCCCATTTCCCTCTGGGAGGATATCACTCCTTTCTCGTTGGGTCAATATAATAAAAAAAATGAGACAATTGGTTCCGAAAAATAAGTCTGAAGACGGGATCTTCTGTATTGGTTTGTTGCTTTGCTTTTGTATTGGCTTTCACATTTACAAAATCTTTATTAATGTCTCCACTGTGAGGAGTTGAATATTTCGCGGTTAAAATTATTTGAGAGGGCAATTCGTTCGTTGTCTGCATCTGATTATTTTATTTTTTACGTTAATACTGAAATAAGGTAAATGATTAGGTATTTTTATGATTTTTTTACCTGATAATTGGTCTTTGTGCTGTTGGATCTCTATACAGTGATAAATAAATGAATAAATAAATAAATAGATGAATAAATGAATGAATGAATAAATAAATAAATTCACTACCAGTCCCGCATCGTCAAATTATGATACGGATTTCGCCGATAATTTAATGAAATACTAATACATTACATTACATTTATAGTTTATACTTTTTTATTGAATTTTTAACTATCCGTAACCTTAGTCAAGGACATTTTCATCTATTCTACTATTACGACGGAGATATCATTATTAAAAAATTGCGAATCCCGCAACTTGCAGCGTGACGTAGCACCCCTCGGGAGTAAATTATTGAAATTTCTTACGGAAATTTCGGGTACACTTCTGGAAATTTTTATCACGCTTCAGTTCCACTGAAATTGCGAGGAATTTCGTCATGGAACATTCAGAATTTCATGGAAAAATGAATAACTGCGATTTTCAGTTCATTTATTTTCTGAGAATTTGCAAAAATCCAGAAAATTTCGGTAAATATGTTCTTGAATTTTCAATTTATTGAAAACTCACTATAATTCGGCACTGAATACTCAACAATCGGGAAATATCCGATAATTTTGGAGGTCTCGTGGTATTACTACTGAAAATTCAAATTTTGTGAAATGCTGTTCAAGTCATAAATTTCATCGAATTTTCCGTCAATTCTGAAATTTAACTTTTTTTCCCGTCTAAATCGCATTCAATATCAGCCTCCTCACAATTCCAGTCGACTGTCCACGAAATTTCAATTTTTTTCTAACAATATTGCACCAGTTGACGTGAAACGGATTTTTCTCTTTGATTTCCCAAAGAACCACCGCCTTCAGCCGTCTACGACTGTCCTTATCAACTAAAATAATTACTCAAATCATATTGCACTCTCCAACAATCCCTAGAACTGTCAGAATCCTTCAAATTCAATAGCCGACGTCATCCGGACGGCCTCGGGGACAGGGCTAAAGAATTTTATTGGATTCAAACTCAAAAAATCCCACGGACATAATTTTTCGACAGTTCATTCAGCAGCAGGTGCTCGCCCACTCTTCAATTCCAAAGTGGATGGCGGAGACTCGGGATGTTTCAGGGTAAAAGCCGAGTTATTACACTGGATATCCCATTGATTTAGATGTGGGGGAAGGGAAAGGGGGGGGGGGGGGGGTCGTAAAGTTTCTCGGGGAAAGTACATTGACGACATTGAGAGGCACTGCGATACAGTAAGCCCCTGGATGTCCTGAGCTATGAAGCCAATTTATATCGGGTGGTAGTAAACGAGGATGGAACAGCGAGCCGGTCATTCTTCGTGTTGATGACTTGTCCAGTGGTGAAGGTTATCACGGCATAAAAGGAGCGTTAAAATTTTGGAATTGAAGACAGTGAAACGGTGGCTTAACAGCGAGATTGATGAATTCAGGGGGGGGGGGGGGTCGGAATGGAAAAAAGGGGTGGAGTTTT